ATAATTAGAGGAGGGTTTGTTTTAGGAGGAGGAGTTCATTAGAGAAGATAAAAACCTCATCTCAGTGGGAATTTGCTTTACAGGAGGAAATTGGAAAGTTAAAAGTATGCTGAATAAACTCCCTTCAGAATAGCAGGCATTCAACTGATAGACCTTGAAGACATTTAAACAATGCATTAATATGGAAGTAGTTTTTCATGCTGTCTTGATTAGCACAGATGATGTGAGCGTGCCTTAAAGACTAAATGAGGTTTCTCCTCCTAACAAAATTTTGAGAATCTATAACATTTAAAGCAAACTTTTGTTTCTGATACTAAGTGATCAGTTTACCAAAAGCTTCTGAAGGGTTTAGATATAGGCCAAAAAAAATTTACTTTGTCAGAAATAATTTAGAGGAAAACACATGAAAGTTAAATCACAGTGGGTTGCAAGTCACAAGAGAAAACATATTTCATTTCCGATCGTTTTTGATGAGGAAGTCTGGCAGAATTACAGAGTTTCATAATTACTCTATTTTAAACTTCAGTTAAAGATGCTCAAGAAAGCTGTTAGTTTTTATTGAAAGGTTAATTTTACATCCACAGAAGAATAAGCTTCCCATTTTATTTAAGCAGGTGTTAAATGAGAAAATGACACCACCTCTGCCCAGAACCATATGATAGAGCTGGCAATTTTATCTCTAATACATTGTATGTAGTTTTATATCAGCTGTGACAACATTTTCTTAATAATGATGCTTTCACACAGCAGTAGGTTGAACTCTTTATATTCAGATTTTGCCATAATGGAACATGTTCTTTTTTTAAAAAAAAATATTTAATTGTTTTATTATTGTTGTTATTTTATTTATTTATTTATTTATAAATGCTATAGGACATGTGTTCTTGCTGGAAAGACAGAGCGAGACAAAGAGAGAGAAAGTGAGAAATTACCTTCCAGGATCCTGGCAAACACCCACATGCCCCCAGCGTGAGTTTCAAGCTGCTGGGTCCAAAACTCGAACCCTGATTGGTCATGTGAGAGTCCAGCACCTTAACCACTACACTACCTGCTGGCCTCTATTTTTTTTTTTTTTTAAGTTTTTCTATAGGGTAACTGTGCTTACCAGAGAGAGAAAGAGAAAGTGAGAAAGCAAGCCATCTGGTCTGGGACTCAAACTGCGGTTGGCTGTATGGGAGTCCAGTGCCCCAACAACCATGCAACCTACTAGCCTTGGAACATGTTTCTTTTTTAAAAAACTTATTCACATTTTAAAATTATTATTACTATTTTAAATTAGCTATGGGGCATGTGTAATCACCAGAGAGAGATGAGAGAGAGAGAAAGTGAGAAAGCAACTGCCAAGTCCAGGACTTGAATCATGGTCAGCCATGTGGGAGTCCAGTACCCTAGCCACCATGCCAACTGTTGGCCCCAAGGAACATGTTGATTTTTTTTGAGAGGTGTTTGCTATAGGGCGTATGTACTCACTGGAAAGACAGAGAGAGACAGAAAGCAAGAAAGCAAGAAATCACCCCCCAGCGGGGATGGCCACGCTGCAGTCCCTTCTCCTCCATTCTCCTCTTGGGATCTTGGGCACGCATGCACACGTGCCCTGCATGAGTTTAAGCCACCAGGTCTGGGACTCAAACCGCGGTTGGCTATGTGAGAGTCCAGCAACATAGTCATTATTCCAACTACTGGTCCTGGAACATGTTCTTTTTAAGGAATCTTGTTTACCTGTTCTTGGTATTATGAGTTGTGTTCATGGTCTACTTAATAACACATTATTGAAAACTGATGAACTTTTGTGAAAGGAGGATACAAACAAAATCAATTCTGTGAGGTTAAAGTGGTAGGGATAGTGTCAGGAGTTTTAAAAAAATGTATAGAGAATGCATATTACGAAAAATGTTGCGTGGACTTAAGTTAATCTTGTATCAAAATAAACTCATATTGGGACCAGCTGCTAGCGTAATGGCTATGTCGCTGGACTCTCATGTAGTCGATCGTGGCTCGAGTCCCGGACCCAGTGGCTTAAACTTACACTTGGTGGGTGTGCGTGCCATGCCCAAGATCCCAAGAAGAGAAAGGAGGAGAAGGGATTGCGGCGTGGCCATCCCCCCTGGGGGGTGATTTCTCTCTTTCTGTCCCTCTCTCTCTCTTTCTTTCTGGCAAGTGCATGTGCCCTATAGCAAAAAAAAAAAACTTCTCAAAAAATAAATAAATAAACTCATATTTTAACTTCCTTTTTCCATAAACTTTTTGAGGTAACCTCACATATGAAACAGTTTCTCCATCATAATATTTCATTTAAAAACCTTTTTGTTTATTTTTTCCATGACCTGGAAGGACACACAGAGAGTGAGAGAGGACATGCTCATAAGTGAGTTTTGACTCCACAATCACTCCATCTCAACCAGCTCTGGGACATGGGCATGTACATGCTCAGTGTCCCCAGGAACACCTCTGGATGAGAACCCTGAACCTTCCCACGTTGGGGAGCCTTGCAAAGGGCTGTGTTTTACCACTGTGCCATCTGGCCCCTTCATTTTGATAATTAACAGCCCAAATGTCCTGCACACATGTTGGTGAGCTAGCCACTGTATGCTGGTATTTCACTAAGTGGAGCAGGTAAGGTATCTTCCCAGAGGTTATAATTCAGGTAGAAACTTGATTGAAGGGTAAACCTATCATACCTGTTGTCTATTACTATAATTATGCTGTGTAATAAAACTCTCTCTCACACACAAAACTAAAATAATACAACAATAACCATTTATTTAGCTCCAAGTCTGAGAACTGACTGGCTTGTCCCTTTGGTCTTGACTGGGCTTGCTGAGAATTGTGAGTTGGCTAACTTTCAACTGATAGATATCGGCTGTGGCTGAGAGGCCTGGGCTGCTTTGGCTCCTCTCTTGTTCTCCAATGGGCTAGTCCAAGCATGTTCTCAGGACAGGAGAAGAGGTGGGGTGAAAAAGCGAGCTTAATCACACAAATGAATTTTAGACCTTCTACTTATATCAGGGTTGCTAAAAATCATTGGCCAAAATAAGTCATATGACTGAACTACAGCCCAGAGTGGGAAAGCACCATCAGGTTAAATGTCAAAGAACATGCACATGGGGAGAGTAAAGAATTCGGGTCCGTTAATGCAGACAATATACCACACTCTTTTTCTTCTAAAATATTATTTGGAAGTACTAACTTTTGAAATTATAACAAAGTGATCTTTTTTTTTTTTGAAGAGGTTTTTGCTATAGGGCGCGTGTGCTTGCCAGAAAGACAGAGAGAGAGACAGAGAGACAGAAAGCGAGAAATCACCCCCCAGGGGGATGGCCATGCCGCAATCCCTTCTCCTCCATTCTCCCCTTGGGATCTTGGGCACGCATGCACACGTGCCCAGTGTGAGTTTAAGCCACCGGGTCCGGGACTCGAAACGCGGTCGACTACGTGGGAGTCCAGCGACATAGCCATTACGCTAACTGCTGGTCCCACAAAGTGATTTTTTTAAAATGTGGGTGGTAAAGTCAGCTGATGCATGTTTGAATCCTGACTCTACCACTATTGTTTCTGTGACCTTGAGCAAGTTACTGAATACTACTGGACTTAGTTTTCTTATCAGTAAAATAGTTTTGGGCCAATAATAGTTCATATATCATAAGGCTGTTGAGAAGATTTGATAAGATAATGTATGTAAATAATAGCTAATTCTTTTCTGTTTGTTCATTTGTCATAGGTTGTGTGTGTGCTTGTCAGAGAGAAATAGAGACAGAGAGAGAGAGAGATAGTGAGAGAGAAAGTGAGAAGTCTCTCCTCCCAGGGGATGGCCATGCCACAATCCATTCTCCTTGAGAGATTTTGGGCATGCATGCACAGACACCCAGCATGATTTTCAAGTCATCAGGTCAGGGACTTGAACTGTGGTCAGACATGTGGGAGTCCCGTGCCTTAACCACCACACCACCTGCTGGCCCCAGTAATGGCTTATTTGTATTTGACATTTACTATATACTTGTGCTTTATACATTTTAACTAATTCAATCCTCTTAGCTTTTATGGTATCTGCTTATTTTTTCTGAGTTTGCAGTAAAGAATGAGTTACAGAAAGGTTACAGAATTTTCCAATGGGTGACACTAAGTAAGTGACAGAGAGAGGAAATTTGGAACCGAGGCAGTCTGGTTTCATATCCTGCACTGTGAACCATTTATCATCTGATGCCAATCTTAGCATGATTTCTAGTAAAAAATGAGTTAATATGTAATATATATAAGCTAATTCTTATTGCGAAATTGTTGTCCATTCACATCACTTGACTCATGGCACATGAATTAAAGTGGCAAGGGCTCTCACTAAACCCATCTTCTGTAATGTAGAGTTGGGGGTCTTGAAACACATTTTATTGTCCAAAAAGACCTAGCTGACTCTGAGAAACTATGATGCTACTTAGAAAGCAACGACAGGGACCAGCAGTTGGCATAATGGCTATGTCGCTGGACTCCCATGTAGTTGACTGTGGTCCGAGTCCCAGACCTGGTGGCTTAAACTCATGCCAGGCATGCGTGCGTGCGTGCGTGCCCAAAATCCCAAGAGGAGAATGGCAGAGAAGGGATTGCGGCATGGCCATGCCCCCTGGGAGGTGATTTTTCGCTTCCTGTCTCTCTCTCTATTCCTGTCTTTCTGGAGAGCACATGTTCCCTATAGCAAAAACCTCTCCAAATAAGGAAAAAAAAAGGAAAAAGAAAGAAAGCAAAAATGGTTGGGGACCAACAGGTGGTGTGGTGGTTAAGGCTCTGGACACTCCCACATGGATAGAGTCCCAGACCTGGTGGCTTGCTTTCTCACTTTTCCACTATCTCTCTCTGTCTCTCTCTGTGTCTCTGGTCAAATTAAAATAAACAAAAAAAAAATTAAATAAATAATTCTTTAAACAAAATTTTTAAAAGAAAGCAAAGACATATTAAGTTTACAGTGTAGTGTATCTGCAATTAAAGAAATGAGTCTTATAAAATGTTGACAGCTTTTTACAAAGTTGGAAGAGTGACTGCTATCGATGAAGACTACCCACCAAATTGTGTAACATACAAAATAACCAAGGGAGACATCCAGGTTATACAAAGATTCTGGATTCACCCTTTCTCTGGAATGATTGAACTCACTACACAGCCAGACTATGAATCTGTGAAGCAATATAATCTCACTGTGGAAGCTGTGGATTGTGACAAATTTCATCCTCGCACAGCAATGACTACGGTAAGAGGCTCGAGTTTTTTTGTTGGTGAGTATGTATGTGTGTGCTTTTTTTTTTGTTTTGAGAGGTTTTTGCTATAGGGCGCATGTGTGCTCACCAGAAAGACAGAGATAGAGAGACAGAAAGTGAGAAATCACTCCCAGAGGGGATGGCCATGCCACAATCCCTTCTCCTCCATTCTCCTCTCGGGATCTTGGGCACACAGGCATACACACCTGGCGTAAGTTTAAACCACCAGGTCTGGGACTTGAACTGCGGTTAACTACATGGGAGTGCAGCAACATAGCCATTATGCCAACTGCTGACCTCAGAGGCCCAAGTTTTAATATTACAATGATTATCTATTGATTTCTTACTTGTTATAATAATAATCACTCAATAACAACAATGGAGAGAATGGGGAAACTTAACAGCTTTCTCCTACTTCCCAAGTGTTGCTTAACTTTCGCACATTTCTAAACTTTGGACGTTTAAGTCTTAGCTGAGATTGAAGAAGTACCTGCTAACTCCTCATATTCTCATGAGATTTATAAAGTGGTAATGATAGCAAAGACATATCTAGCTCTTATCATGTGCCAGTTCCTGCTCTGGGCACATTTTATGTATATATATATAATATATATATATTATATATATATATATTACACGATTGATGGTGTAGTTAATCCTCACTTTAAACTTGTCATTTCCACCTTACAAATGAGGTAACGGAGGCAGAGTTTAGGAAATTTGCCTGAGGTTATTCATAGGTTTGTAGGATGGGAATGAAACCCAGGCTGCCTCTTATTGAGAGATGTTGGCAGTGAAGGTATTTAGCCTAGGTATGGTCTTTTGGCATCTATCTCAGTGGGGAAGAGTCTGAGTGTCTAAATTATTTCCGCAGTAGTGTAGCAATGTCCAAGGACTCTGGAAAGAAAACACGAGCGAAGACTGCTGCGCTATTACTGTGCGATGTGCGTTATGAACATCTATAAAATGTTGTCAACCGAGAAGAAACAGAAGTAGAATTAAAGAATGAGAAGGTGCCCATCTGGCCTGATGGTTCGCTGAACCTTTCTTCCTAATTCACGAAGCCCCCTGGCTTGAGGCTTATGTGGCTATTAGATTTCCTGAGTGTGTCATTGTGAGGAAAACAGACCTGCTCACATCAGCAATTAGAGTGTCTTTCAAAGGGACTGAGTTACAGTCATGAGGATGAGATTAGGAGGCTTGGTTGTCTCAGGATGATGCCTGTGAGAGTGATCTTTACCCCCAATTACCTGCGGCAGCTTTTCCTGTAGACATTTACGAACTCCCGAAACAGTATAGGATGACGCCACTTGCAATTATCATTCACTTAGTGCACACGAGAAGAGGGAAAAGCAGATTTTTTTTTTTTTGGAGAAGTTTTTGCTATAGGGTGTGTGCGCTCACCAGAAAGACAGAGAGAGACAGAGAGACAGAAAGCCAGAAAGCGAGAAATCACCCTCCATGGGGGATGGCCACATCGCAGTCCTTACTCCTCCAATCTCCTCTCAAGATCTTGGGCACTCATGCACACGTAAGTGCCTGGCTTAAGTTTAAGCCACCGGGTCCAGGACTTGAACTGCAGTTGACTACATGGGAGTCCAGCGACATAGCCATTATGCTAACTGCTGTTCCCCGGGAAAGCAGATTTAATACTACTAAAACCCTTCGAATGTTCTTACAAAAAGAATTTGTTTTGCCAAAAAATAAAGCAGGAACTTGTTTATTCATACTGCTGTGCCTCCCCCATTGGAACAATAAAGAATATTTATTGAGTATTTACTCTGTTTACAACATCCTGGGTTACAAAGAAGTGTAAGATGCCATATATGCCTGCAGAGAGCTTAAAGTTTTGACATACAAAAGTTAAACAGTACAAAGCGAGCGCCAAGTTGACGATACAGATAAATTCAACTTTCAGGGGACCAGCAGATGGCATAATGGTTACATCTCTAGACTCCCACGTTGTTGACTATGGTTTGAGTCCCCTGAACTGGCGGCTTAAAACTTATGCTTGGCTTGTGTGCATGCATGCCTAAAATACTGAGAGGAGAACGGAGGAGAAAGGATTGCAGTGTGGCCACTCCCCCCCCACCCGAGGTGATTTCTCACTTTTTGCAAACATCCCAACTTTCAGGTTCAGAAAAGGAAGGTAGGTCTTTAGACTCCAAAGTATAGAAATCCACTATCATCAATGTCATCACCATCCTCCACTCTTTACTGAGAACCTAACAAATATAAAATATTATGGTATGCCCTTAATGATCTCATTTAGTTTTTAATCCAAGTATTTGAGGTAGTATTAATACTCCTTTTAATAGTAGTAGCAGAATTTGATGGTGGAAGAATTTCATTTCCAAGACTGAAAAGTTAAATAACTTTTCCAAGGTCACCCAGCTGAAAGAAGTAGAAAGATTAAGTCTGAGCACTTGAAGGCTCTCATCTACCTTAAATTATCTCTTCAGTGCAGCAGTAAATTCTGTCATCTCTGTTTTCAAAATATATCCTGTACCTTCCTTCTTTACCCACTTACTACTGAAATCCTGGTTGTGTCATCCTCACCCTTCCCTGGTCTAGTGTAGCAGCTCCTAATTAGAATCCCCATCTCTGCTTCCACCCTTTATAGTCTGCTCTTCTTTTAAAAAAATACTTTCTTTATTTTATTTATCATTATAGTTATTTTCAATTTGACAGAGTGAGACACAGACATACATACACACATACACACACACAGAGAGAGAGAGAGAGAGAGAGAGCCACCAGGTCTAGGACTCTAACCACGGTCATCTTGTGGGAGTCCAGCACCCCCAACCACCACGCCACCTGCCGTTCCCTATAGTCTGCTTTTCAGAGTGATCTGCTAAAAAGCCAAATCATCCTCTTCCTCAAAGTTCTCCACTCGGTTCCCATCACACTTAGTTGAACTCCAAACTCATCTCCCAGGTCTGTGGTGCTCTTTATGATCTGAGCCTTGGCTACCTCTTTGTCTTCATCCTAGTACTCTCTCCCTCCTTGCTGTGTCTCCAATATACCAAGAATGTTTCTTTCTCAGAATCTTTGTCTAAGAGTGTAATGCTTATCCTCCAAGGCTCACTTCTCACTTTAATCATATTTCTGCCCAAATGAAAGTCTAAAGGCCTTTTATACTGAGCTTAATAGTAGAAACTTAAAATAACTCATGTATTCATCATTAGGGGAATGAATATGTAAAATATGACAGAAGCATACTATAGAATACTAGCAATCAAGAAGAAATAGTAAACTAGTTCTACATACAGCAATATGCTAAGAACCTATATGGCACTGTGTGAGGAAAATAGGAAACAGGAAATATCTGTGGCACAATAGCCTTTATGCAAATCAAGACTATACAACTAAACACTACATATTCTATAAAGAAGCATATTTGCTTGAGCATATGTATTTACTATGGGGGAGAAAGGAAGAAATAGGAGAATGGTTCAGAAAAACAAAGGCTTTCTCTGAACGCTCTCCTAAAATAGATCCATCAGCTATTCTCTACCGCCTTGATCTGCTTGAAATCAATTACGATATGACATTGCCTAATGTGTTTACTTGTCAATACTTACTGCTGTGCCTCCCCCATTGGAACATAAATTGTAATAGGTCAGGGGCTTTGTTTGGCTCACCACAGTAGCTTCTGTAGCTATATCAGTGCTTGACATGCAGTGAACATTCAATACATATACATTAAATGGACTAATTTATATATAGTCTTAGGAAGACAGGGATTGGGAACACCTTATAACAGTTGAGGAAAACAAGGTTAAGTCACTTACACTAAATATAGGTCCCTTTTCTTTTTCAGGTTTTTGTCATAGGGCATGTATACTCACCACAGAGATGGAAAGAGACAGACAGAGGGAAAATGAGAAGTCACCCTCCAGGGACAATGGCCACACCTCAGAACTTTCTCTGCCATTCTTTGCTTTGGCTTTTGGGTACACATGCACATGTGCTTGGCATGGTTTTCTAGCCACCGGATCTATGACTCAAATTGTAAGCCACGTGGGAGTCCAGCACCTTAACCACCATGCCACCACTGTCCCCAAGGTCCAATGCTTTAATATAATAATTTAAAAACAATTAAATTTGTTTTCATTTTAAAGTTTACTTCTTTCTTTCTCCCATGAGAAAGAAAAGAGAGGAAAAAGAGAAAGAGAAAGAGAAACATAGGGGAAAGAGAGGTACCCCACAAGGTCTCGACACAATCATACTCGGCTTAAGCCATCCTTAGACTGTGGACACACAGATGCCTCCTGCTGTACTCAGGGAGGTACTCAGACATGAGCCCAGAACCTTCCCATGTGGGTAAGCCTTGCAGAGCCCAGCATTTTACCACTGTGCCACCATCCTGCCACTTAATAAAGAAATTTTTTTATTCCAAGTCTGGTTATATTTTCATTATATCACATAAAATCTCATATATTATACTATTTTTAATTTTTAAAGAATTATTTAATTTTATTTATTCATTAACTTATTTTAATTTAACCAGAATGAGACACACAGAGAGATAGAGAGACAGAGGCATACGGAAAGCGAGAAAGCAAGCCACCAGGTCCAGGACTCGAACTCTGGTCAGCCATGTGGGAGTGTCCAGCACCTTTAACCACCATGCTACCTGCTGGTCTGCAATTATCTCACATATTAAATGGGACAAATAGTGACATTTAATCCATAGAAATAGCATTAAAGAACAGTCGATTCCCCCCAAAATAGTTGTTAAAACATTACAGAAAACATTTTTAAAAGATAATACTTGCTAGTATGGGCACACCAGGGATTCTTCTGCAAATGTTGTTGAGAAAGTCATTAGTCATCCAAGAGGTAGAGAGATAATCTTGCTAGGCTGCCTGGCATTTGATCACTGACATTTAAAAATCCTTGATATTTTGATTTTTTTTTCCCATGTAAATCACAGTTTTCTGGTTTATGGTATTTTAATTAAGAAAAGGTTGATAAGAGCCCCCTAATTAAGGTCAAAGCATACTTGGAAGTAATCATATTAGCACCAAGAAAGATGTTGTATTTGAAAGAATAGTACAGAAGAGGGCCTTGAGTTGAGCCAGAGGAAGCAAATGCAGGATACGTTTGCCATTAAGTAGAGATAGTTAAAGGGATCAGGGATTACAAATTTTGGAGGCAATATTCTCCAGCTTTCCTTTTGTTATCATTTACATAATTTGTGAGCTTTCCTCAGGCTCTTCTAATGAGCCCAAATCTCTCTCCCTAATGGCTACACCAAACGTCACAGTTGACCTAGGAATAATAAGCCCCTGATTTGTGGATTGACAGCCCAAACCCAAATCTGCAGGAACATTTTTTTTTTTCAGTCTCAAAATTCTAGTCTTTTAGTTGAATAATTCCAAATGATCTGTCTCAACCCAGACGCTTATTTCTGAATTCGTGTATAAATAGTCACCTGATGTGGATGTGAAGTTTCTCCTTCCCTTCTTACTGACAGGTGACTGTTGACATCGAAGAGGAGAATGATGAAGCACCTGTCTGCACACCCTCTCTACATAAGGCAGTCATTTTTGACAATATTGCTGCTGGGACAAATGTCAACGGCTTCAAACTAAACTGCCACGACAGAGATTCACAAGATTATGAAATGCGCTTTGAGATAGTTTCTGGTGGATGTTTTTATTATTTCTTTTAATCACAAACATGTGTCAAATTGACATTAGTTATACCCCATTAGACATGATATATAAACTTAGAAATTACTGTGTTTATAAAGGTGAATCTATAGCATTAAGCTCCCTCAAGGCACCCTTTTCACATTCACATATTCCACTTAATTCATGCTATAATGGAAGTCTTAGTGATTTCGCAGGTATTTTGACAACAGAGACTTTGGATGTGCATGGAAAATGGGAAAGGTTAAGCTATGACACCCAACCCGCTGTCCATGGTTCTGACGGACGACTGCAGTCACCTTTCCATGTGATGACGTTAATGCAGATGCACTAGCATAGATATTTTCAGTTGTATTACTGTTAAATTTATCTATAATAGATTCATATCAACTTTAGCCATCATCTTGTCCTCTATGGGAAATATTTGTTGGATAGTAACTGAGTTTCAGGCACTGTGCTAAGAAATGGGTACCCAGAAGTATACAAGACAGATACAGATCTTATTGCACTAGTTCATGAAACTAGTAACACCAACAATTATAGAATAACAAACTGTGATAAGTTCTATAAAGAGAAGCTTCTGAGTATCGCGAGACAGCATAACAAGGAGACCTATTTAAAGCATGGAGGTTGGGGACCAGCAGGTGGTGATGGTTGTGACATTGGACTCCCACATGCCAACTGCAGTTTGAGTCCTGGACTTGAGTCCCAGTGGCTTGAAACTAATGCCAGGCACATGTGCGTGCATGTCCAAAATCCTGAGAGGAGAGTGGAGGAGAAGGAATTGTGGCATGGCCATCCTCCCGGGGGGCTGGGGGGTAGGAGGGTGGGGAGGTGATTTCTCAATTTTTCTGTCTCTCTCTGTGTTTCTAGCAAGCACACACATCTTAGAGAAAATTTTTAAAAACGTATAGAGGTCAGACTTGCTGACATGTATCTGAAAGAACGGGAGTGCGAAAACTAGTAAAACCTTTGCCAATTAATTATGAAGACTAGTTTATGTCTGCATTTTTTGCCAGAGGATAAGATCCATGAAAGTAGGGTTTATTTGCATCTTGTTTACAGACGTTTCCAGAGCATTAGAAAAAACATAAACATAGTGGGGACTCCATAGAAATTCGTGGTCTGACTGGCTCATTTGCTATTGATCTAGGCAAAGTTAAAGTTGGGAATCAGATTACTCTGAGTGAAAGATAAAAGAAGGTGAAGCTATTCTGCAGGATAATCAGATAATTATGTGACTTGCTGGTTGCATGTGGGGATTAGATTCATGATCTTCACCATTCAAACATTTCTAGCCAGATCAATTTATTGGTTATTTGATCCTGATATTATGGTAAGCCATGTATGTGGAATATATATATGTATGTGCATTATATATATATAAATGATAAGCCATATATATAATATAAATGAATTTAGAGTATAACAGAGATTGTACTAATTCACACCTATTGTGTTTTACTAGTAATTTAAAGCAATTTGAAAAAAAATATTTTTAATAGATATTAAAATAATTCTGATTTTTCAATGATTCCTTTTAAAGGAAACGAGAATCATCATTTTGGGTTTGACCCAACTCGAGGTTCAGATACTCCAAAATTAATTGTGAAGAATCCTTTTCACTTTGAATCCGGAGCTGAACTGCAGCGGCAGTACCATCTTGTGGTGCATATCATCGATGACAACCTGAAACACGGCAAACCCACCAAGCCCAGAACAGGCACCACCATTATAGATATTTATGTGAAAAGAGCCAATATGCCACCTCCTCCAACCACCAGTTCTGAAGTAAAGAGTTATAGCATTTAATTTAGGTCTCTGTGTGGGAAATATTGTGCTGTAAATTCTAGTATCATCTAGAAAGGGTAAGAGGCTACTCAGTGCAGCACCTTTGCCCATATACCTCCCCACTTGGGAACTACCTTATCCAGACACCAAGCCAATTTTAGAGCAACTGTCTCGAGTATCTACTGTGTGGGATTGAGAGAACTTATGATAATTGCTGGAGGAGCATAGAGGAACCCTAAACAATGAACTATGTCTAAATGATCTGAAAGTCCTGCTCATGGGAATAGCCCACTGCTCAATGCATTATATCAGTTAATAATCCCTACAAATGGTGGGGCCAGCAGGTGGCATAGTGGTTAAGATGCTGAACTTCCACATGGCCGACCATGGTTTGAGTCCTGAACTCAGCAACCTTAAACTCATGCTAGGTGGGTGTGCATGTGTGCTCAAAGAAGGGATTGCAGCATGGCCAACCTCCTGGGGGCTGATTTCTCACTTTCTGTCTCTCTGTCTCTCCAGCAAGCACATATGCTCTATGACAAAAGTATCTCGTATCTCAAAACAAAAACAACAAAAAACAACTCTATGAATGGGCACTTTAAAAGGTATTTCTTTGGGGTCAGCAGGTGGCATGGTGATTAAGGTGCTGGACTCCCACTTGGCCGACTATGGTTCAAATCCCAGACCTAGCAACTTGAAAATCATGCTGGGCACATGTGTGTGTGTGTGTGTGTGTGTGTGTGTGTGTGTGTGTGTGTGCGTGTGTGTGCCTAAAATCCTGAGAGGAGAATGTTGGAGAAGGGATTATCATGTGGCCATCCCAATTGGGGAGCGATTTTTCACTTTTCCTTTCCCTGTCTCTGTCTCTCTCTGGTAAGCACATGCACTCTATGGCAAAAACCCTAAAAAAAAAAGATTTTTCTTTAGTATTCATTCTATTCTTAGTAATGGACATCTGCCATATTCCAGGTACTATACTGCATAACTTATATTTATTATTTCATCTAATATTCAATCCAACCCTATGACATTTAGCAGAACATTTAATATTTTATTATTTATACAGTAGCTATACAGAGCCTCTGCAGAATTCTAGAATGGCTTCTGAGTCACCCACGGGTAAAGTCTGTTCAGTAAACCTTATGGTTAGTGTATTTAATTGTCTTCAATCCTTGAAATAGAAGCATTATTTTTAAAAAGATGCATGGTAAATCTTTCCACCCGGAATATTTTCTTCTTACTTTTTAATTAACTCTACCTGAATATTTGATTTTCAAGAACATGCTGTTCTCTCGGACTGCACAAAAGAGTTTATTGTATATAGAGTAGATAATAGAGACATAGAAATCAAAAAGAGTGTAGATACCATCTAGTTCAACCCTTGATTTTGCAGATGAGAAAACTGAGAACAAAGAGAATGGTTTACTTTAGGATTATGGAGCAGTCTTTGGATGCAATTCAGTCTGTACATGTTTAATTGGGTGCCTTTTCTGTGCAAAGGTATTTTTCAATATTACCTGTGGGGTTTGAAAAATGCTGCATATGTCTGAGTCAACACCTTGTTATCTGTATGGGCTCATGGCTCTGTACTGATGCTGCTCTGTAAACAGATGCTCTCTGAAAACATAAACTAACGCTCTGTTTGCTTTGAAATATCATTTCTCAGCAAAGGGAAGGTCTGACCATTGTGTACACAGCTATCAACACGTACAGATCCAACGACTGGTATATTCCTTTCATCTTCACTCTGATGGCTGTTTTCCTTGCTGGGTTTGTTGTCTGGGTATGTTTCTTGTTTTGGAGGTATGGAAACGTTATGGAATGCTGTTGGAATATGCCCAAGGAAGCCTCCAAGCCCAAACCCAGGTATGTGACTTTTTTTCCCCCTAAGCTTCTATATAGAGTCAGGGTCCGAAGATCTCACTCAGAGGTTTTTTGCCTAAGTTTGCTCTTGAGGAGCACAGAGAAAATTCCTTGCAATATAAAACTTGATGTTCTTCTTTCACCAGTGATCCCAAACATACTCTATCTCAGAAACAGTACAGCTTATTATTGAATTCTACCTGAGAACATTTGAAACATGACTATGTTTTAAACAGATATATTTATGAGCAAATAAGTAAACAACACTATAGTATTTTGATACAAGCAGTTTCAGGAACAGGTATTTGAAATCTACTGGGAACTAGCATAGGGACAGGGGATAAATGTACATACTCTGGCCATACTTCTGATGTTTTCCTTTTTCTTAAAGTTTCTTTTATTTCATTCACAAGAGAGAACATGCACACATGTAAGAAAACACAATGCAGAAAGAGAGAGAGACACCCCCAACAGGGTCATGCTTCAATCCTCGGCCCTCTAGCTAGTTATGATCTTGGCTGTAAGCACACTTGGTATGTTTCAGGTTGACTTGGGATTTGACCCTGTGGCTGGCCATGTGGCTTCCAGCACTGTAGACCAGTATGCTTCTGCCTGTAACATCAAAGCTGGGTCATGGACTGGTTTTGAACCTATGTGCAGCTGGGCAGAGAGGTCAAAGACATAAATAGAAAATTGCCACTACTTTTATTTATTTGTTTGGGGTGGGGAGAGAGATTTTTGCTATAGAGTGCATATGCTTGCTGGAGAGGACAGAAGGAGACAGACAGAAAGCGAGAAATCACCCCCTAGTGAGGACAACCATATCCACAATCCCTTCTCCTCTATTCTCTACTTGGGATTTTTAGGCATGCATGCACATGTGCCCAGTGAGAATTTTAAGCTGCTGGGTCTGGGACTCTAACCAGGGTTGACAACGTGGGAGTCCAGCGACGTAACTGCTATGCCATCTGCCATTGTATTTATCACTAACCAGAAATAGTTCTGCAGGGTACAAATTAAAATTAGCACAACTTCAAAAATAGAGTTGTATATAAATTTTTATTAACTAAGAATTAATTTGGTGAAGAGGCTAGTTAATGAAGGCCATTTTATTATTCTTCACATAGCATTTTTTTTTTCTGGAGTAGAGAAATGCTATAATAGTCATATGTTGACTATTGAATAAATTTTTTTTTTGTCATGTGTTACCATAATGAAGCTGATATTTTGTCAAATTTCTTTTTCACACAGAGGCATGAAGTATATTTCAGGTAAGATTAAAATGGATAATTATTACATAATTATGCTTGAATTATGTGATTTAAAAATGGCATTCATCAGATACTTGACTTTTATTTATTTTTTAATAGGAGATAAAAATCAAAAGGAAAAGACTATCATAGGAAATGGAAATAAAAATTTAGAATTATCAATGGTAAGTACATTTTCTTGTGATCCCTCTATAGTAAAAGAAAGAGGACATTTTCCCTATAATTGTTGCTCAATTAAAAGTTCTTTCACATAAACATATAGTAAACCTACCCAAGTATTGTAGAAAGGAAAATAAAATAATTTTAGTTTATTTGATTCTGCTGAATTTGTATGCATCACCAAACTAGAATTTTAGATCCAGTCTCAGAATTGGCTAGATTGGGACCAGAAGATGGTGTAATAGTTATGATTAAGTGGACTCCCACTTAGTTGACTGTGGTTTGAGTCCTGGACTGGGTGGCTTGAAATTCAAGTTGGGCATATGTGCTTATGTGCCCAAAATTCTGAGAGGAGAATGGAGGAGAAGGGATTGTGGTGTGGCCATCTCCCCCAAAAAGATGATTTCTTGCTTCCTGTCTCTCTGTCTCTCTGGTGAGTACACACACCCTATAGCAAAAAAATCTCTCCTAAAAAAGAAAAAGAGGGTGCCAGCAGGTAGCATAGTGGTAAAAGGCGCTGGATTTCCACGTGGCTGACTGTGGTTTGAGTCTTGGACCAGGTGGCTTGCTTTCTCAAGTTTCCTTTCTCTCTCTCTTTGTCTCTCGGGTCAAATTAAAAAATAATAAAAATAAATGGAGTTAAATAAATAAATAAATTTTAAAAAAGAAAAAGGACTGGCTAGGTTAAAATTTGTTTCAGATATTATATGTGCATTCAGCAAAAGCAACTCTAGATAAATATTGAATAGAAATCCAGCACTGTCCACTGTTACATTTAAATAAAAGCTATGTTTGAAAATAGGTGACACACATGAATAAGTTCTTCAACTGTTGGGAACCAGCAGTTAGCGTAATGGCTGTCACTGGACTCCCACGTAGTTGACCGTGGTTCGAGTCCCGGACCCAGTGGCTTAAACTCACACCAGGCACGTGTGCGTGCGTGCCCGCCCAAGATCCCAAGAGGAGAATGGAGGAGAAGGGATTGCGGC